CAATACCCGAATACACCAAAAAGACTGGAACCTAGACAATGACTGGAAAAAATACCTGGGCGCTAGCGCAGTACTTTCAAGCTTGTGAGCCGTTATTCCGAATTACTCGAATAAAGAGGTCGTAATGATAAAAGAATTCCTTTCTGCTATTGGAAAACAAGAAGCTGGTGATTTTGCTGCTGGTAACACTAGGGTACGTCCAGTCGGTGTCAATGCAGATAGTCTGATGATATAATTTTAAGGGATGGTTGGGTCCTGTTCGACGTTAAAAAACTGCTTCGAAGCGGTACCTGTGCACGTTCTTCATTTACTACTCAAGTGATTAGCGATACTAACTCTGATGCTGACGTTTAGGTACCATGAGATCTATCTATTTGATTTTGAGTCAGTTTGCGTCAAGATCCTAATCGGCAAGCAGCACTTCATGGTCCTCCAAGTGAAGAAGGTTTCCCATCCTTTCCCTAAGCAACTCATAACCAAAATGAAATTGCAAGAATAAAAACTTTGCTGCGCCCGTTCTAAGAAGAAGTCCGTGAAGAACTCATACATCCTGGTCAATTCTATTCTGCGGGCCCGCCATATTGCAGAGAGGTTGTTCAGTACAACATGCTACATATGTAATTGATCGGCATTCCTAATTGTCTGCTTATCTGGAACTCGGCCAAGCGTGAAGCAGTCTCTGCCCAGAATTAGTCTTCGGGTCCGGCCATACCGGCATCTGATCCTGGCCAAGGGCAGTTTGTCGTCCCCATACTAACAACACCATAGCATAGAGCGCCTGTGCCCAATGCGCCGTGGGGCCAACCTAAAAATAGGATAATATCCAATATAATACATCTCACCAAGAAACAAAATGACATACCATTGTTGTGAGCATTTTGCAGGTCGGCGTAGGTTCTTGTACACGGTAAGTTTTGCCATCCGCGAAACCATAATACCGTCGACAAGTGGCTTTCGTGATTGTGTTAGCCCATTCACTCTACCTGTTGAATTTTTGTGGGAATACAAATACATGCATCTAGTCGTTGCTTCAAACATGAGCCGAGCGCAGTTCCTGCGTTAGCTAGAACCCGTGTCTGCGTAGATGGTGGAGCACCAAAAAGCTCACGCAAATTTTTTTTTACGACCGCTCTGTATTAATGCAACAATCAACTAGCACTTCACGATTAAAAATGAAATTCGACGGGCAGACAGACTTACCGACTCTGCTCTAACCCTTTCGTGGCAAAATCGCCCTTTTAGAGTTTCGTGCAAAGAAGAGTAGGAATCAGCCTCTAAATGGGCGATTTTTGCGCCCTTTTGCAGAAGTTCAACTGGTCCTGCAATTTCTTGTGTGACATAGCAGATGCTGTGTGACTCGTAATCAATAAACCATACGTTAATGAGGTTAAAGAATTTATCCGATTGCATCATCACCTGGAACGACGGTGAAACTAGGAGAGAAACCAGAACGCGTTAATACTAACTTAAAGTCCAGATTCGCACACCAAAAATGTGTCACCACAATTAACATGTGCGACCACATCACGCTGTGGTGGCAGCACATACAGAACACCATGCCTGTGCACGCCGCTCTTTTTCTGATTCAACGCACAAACAGGGCTGGCAGTATCACCAGAAGGCAAATCGAACGAAGGTTCGTCGTCATGAGAATCATCTCCACCAGCTGCCTTCGGTTCAAGAACAAAGACTGTAGCGGGAAGTACATTGGCCCATACAGTTATCAAGTCAAATATACCAAGGACACGCGTCAGTCGCCGGAGTTAGCATCTTGGCCGGTCGATCGTCTCCACTCTCGCCCCCAACTCCCCCGCTATAGGAAGCGGTCAAGCCTCGCAAGTAAAGGAACAAGGAACCCCCCGCAAAGGAACAACCACACCCCAAGTCGATCAAGATCGACAACCTACCTGGCGCGTAGCCTGAAGAGTATCCACGCTACGCAACCCCACCATCCTGCGTCCCGCCAAGACGCGACCAGCCCAGGCCAATCTTCCCATCAAGTCCATCAGAGGAGTGTAACCAGCCTCGCCGACGGGTACACAAGGTGAGTCCTCAGCAACCCCACGGTTATCGGAGTACCCCCTCCGTTAGTCGGGAGTCCAGGGAACTGTGTGTCAGAGTGGATTGCGACGTGATTTTGCGACCCCCACTCCACCACACAAACCTAGGCCCGAAAGCCTAAAGATTCTTGTGTTTGAGAGAAAGGATGGAGAGAACCTTCACTTCTGGATGAGAGAAGTTGAGTTCGCCATCAAAACGGGCTTCATCTCGGCCGAGCGACTTCCGGCGTGCCAAAAATTGTGCTTACATCACGGAGACGGCATCTCCTTGGTTGCAGGCGACAAAACGCGAGAGCTGCAAGAATACGTGCGGGCGAGGGGCACGTTGGTGGCATCGCTGGCAGAAAACCCACCGCCTGAAGATATTAAGACAACAGTCTTCATGAAGGTTGTACCTGCACGCACACGAAGCTAGTCCGCGTGGACGAAACCACTATGGAGGAAGCGATTTGCGTGGACCTCCAGGAGTACGGCCATGGGCAATTCGGGAAGAGGAACCCGCCAAGATTGGACAGGCGCTCCTTGGGAGAGGAGGGCAGTACTGATGCTCCTGCTGTAGCACAGCCCCTTGACACCGGCGCGAACAGCAAACCCGAACCCATGGACTTAAGCTCCGTCGAGAGCTTTGTTCGTTGGTACGGATCATATGCACTTAGGCACTACCATCGTGTATGTCCCTCAAGAGACCTCGAAAAGTAGGATCTCCATATTACCCGCGGACCTAAGGACCGTTGGCGAATGCCACGGCGGGGTGTCCTGGGCTCTACAATCATCAGTAGGTGAAACCTGGGGAGCGCTAAGTTATCGGTAGGGGTAGGAGGATTATGTGCATTACGGAGGCTTATTCCTGATAGACTTGGCTCGCTCAAAT